TCTTAACTGTAATGTCCAGGGTTTTTACTTGTACTTAGCAGGAAGAATAGGGAAAGTACATCTACTCCATCTTCCCAGAGGAAACAATTTTTAATGAATTTATAATCTTCCATCTTGTGAATATACTCAAATATTTAGGTAAAATTAATTCCTCTTAAATGTAGAGTCTTACAGTGGATGAAATCAGTTTCACAAATATAGAATATTGTCAGTGAAAAAGGCTTAGGGGCTCTAGGTGACAAGTTTGACATAGATTCTAACTATCAGAAACTATAGCATAAATCTTACATTATGCGAAATCATATAAAGGGAGAGTTAAAGGATGCCTTAGAATTAATGTGGTCTAGACCCTGCCCATTGTAGGATTTCTTTCTGTAGCATTCCCAGTCAGTCATACGTTCACCATTTACCAATATACCAGTTATATGCTGACACCAGAAATACACAGCCTCTTTTCTTATGGAATGTAAATATGTCAGAAAAGACACATGTTAAACAAATGACAGAATGCTTGGGGGTACTTAATACCCAAACCTAGCTTACTTGGGAGAGCAGGAAGTCCTCTTGGAGGGAGCAATGTTTAAACTGAGTGTTGGTGGGTAAGAGTTATGTAGGTTGGTGGGAATCAAGAAGAATATAACACATGAGACAGTTTTGAGTGGTGCAGACCATGAGTTTGGAGAATGAATACCTGTAGTGATGGGGGTGAAAGGAAAGGAGCGACACACAGCAGCAATTCACCGGAGAATTCCGCTTTATTAGGGAAAGGTGCTGGGTTATATAGGAAGGGGCATGGGGTAATTGTGGTGTTACTTCTATGGGGCTGGTGGCTGTTGGCTAGGTGCTGGGATTGGGAGGAGGGGCGAGAGGTGATTGGGCTTCAGGTGGCGCCGGCGGGAACCGAGGACCCTGAAGAGAAGCTGGAAGTTTGCTATCTTACTGGTGGGGGCCCTTCAGGGGGTCTTAACTGTGTCACAAGTTAATCCTTTACAGAATTTAAAAACTCTAGATTAACAACTTCTCTCTTATGAAGGCTGCCTCCCTTTGACTTTCACCACTGATTCTGGTCTTGTTTTTGAAGCAACATAGTTGAGTCTGTGTCTCTATAAGACAGCCTGTCTAATATTTGTTAATCTCCTTTCCAGGTAAAACATTTTTTATTTCTGCCATAGCTAGGCGGATCAGCATCCTTTGTGGGTAATCCCTAGTTAGCTGATAGGGAGCTAAGAACTGAACACAACATTCCAGATATTGTCTAAGTAGTTAGATGATGAGGAATGGGGCAGAAAAAATTACATGAAATATACAGGATTATAGCTAGACTTAAAAGATCAAGAAAAACACTGAGTGCTCTTACACTGTCATTAGACACTAGACTCCTATTAATGTATCCTGTAACTGCAGTAGCTTTTCTTCAGCAGCTCATAAAAATAGAAGTATAATTAATAGAAGCTCCTTGAAATCACCACTTCTGAAGTACCTTTTCTCTGAAACAGCCTTGCTCTCTCCTTTTTTGTCAAATATGTGCTGTCTGTAGTTGAAACCCTCCTTTCTGACAAGACCAAAGCCATTATCTCTCTTCATCCGAAGCTGACCAAAATATACTTTTGCTCAATATACGCTTAGTGAAGCACCCACAGCCATTCTTGCGCTCCCTGGCTTCCTCAAATTCTTGGTCTCTGTGCTCCATTGAAGCCTCCTTGAAAGGCCCTGCTGAGAAAGGATAGCACTCTCACAAAGGGAAGACTGTGAGGGTTGGGGGTCCTTGTGTCTTAACACCAGTCTTGCTTCCACCACGGCTTATACCTGAATTCTGGGGTTTATTGGTATGAGTTAGAGGGTCTACAGAAACTTTCCAAGACCTGAGTGATAGTAAACTAACAGTTTTCTCTACCACCTGCAAGCTAGAAAGTTTGTCATCTCTGCTTTAAGAATTAAATAATCACAATTCTTTTCTCTTAGCATCCATTTAATTAAACTTTGAGTGCAGCAAGTCTGCCAGAACTAACAGAAAGCTGTTTCAGGAAACAAGAATAATAGAACCGTAGGGGACCGTGAGGCACCTACTTTGACCTTTTTATTTTACAGATGAGAAAACTAAGGCTTGAGGTAATAAAATCACTTACTCAAGATTACATAGGTAGCAAGCTACTGAGACCAGACTTGAACTAGAGCCCCTGAAAGGGAAATCCATTGTGTTTGCATGAGTCTCTTTTTACACACAAAAAATCTCTCTGGATAGCATGATCTGCATTTTAAAATTCTTTCTTTTCCCCTTTGGCCTCTACTTCTGTTCTCTACATCTAGCCATTCAATTAAACAAATACATCTCAAATACACCTGGTAGGCCCTGTGGGTGACTCAAAGGTAGCTGCATCAAGATGCAAGGTTTCTCATTGTTACAGTCTAGTGGGGAAGACAGTGGATAACTGCTAACTGCAAAACTGGACAGGAAATCATACACACATAATCAGAAGTACAAAATGCTATGGTATTCCAGCAGATAGAGCAATTACATTCTTTTTGGCAGGGGTAGAGGGGTTAGATGATGAGGAATGGGGCAGAAAAAATTACATGAAATATACAGGATTATAGCTAGACTTAAAAGATCAAAGATAAAGAGATGTCTGTTTCTTGATGGAGTTAGGGAGACACAGGGCAGATTTGGAGAATTTGAGATTATTATGAAGTACTGGGAGTAGAAGGAGAATAAGACTGGGAAGCTGGTGGAGGACTGATCAGAAACTTTTAATGAAAAGTCAGTGAAAAGAGTTAAAACTTTGGGGTGTTAGCAGTAGGGAAACACTAAAGAATTTTTGAACTTCAGAAGATTTTGAACTTTAAAAGCTTTAAACAGATAAATATCACAGTGTGTAATATTACTAATGCGATTACATAGAAGACTCTTGCAGTAGTGCAGGCAAGAGATGATGTGGACGATAAAAATGGAAGGCAGTGACAGGTGCAAGAAACCCAGCAGAGGTGCCTGCTATGGGACTGCTCGGATCTGCTGAGCAAAGGGAGAGGAGAGCAGCCAAGGTGCAGCCGAGGTTAGCATCGGGCCTTCACCCCAGATGACTCAGAGACCCATGTGCTACTTTCATCACCAGAAGTTGAAGAGAAGGAAAAGGCTGGGAAGGAAAGAGTTAGAGGGCTCCCTGTTGTACTTAACGGATTTGAGATTCCAGCAGGACATTGACTTGGGAGAGCACAGAGCCAATTGGAATGCAGGTCTGGAAGCGCATTTGAAAGGGCTCATCTTGGAGGTTCTCACAGTTAAAGCTCTGCAAGTGCTGATGTTGCTGAGTTGGAAAGAAGGATTGAAAAAGAAAGGATAAGGGCCAGGAGGGGATTTGGGGAGTTACGGTGGCAGCTTGGAAGAGAACAGCGGAGAGAAGAGGAATTGGTGACAGAGAGATAAGTCAAGAGCCTGAGGAATGTGGTGTATGGGAGCCAAGGGTTTTAGGAAAGAGGGGAGAGCCCCATTTTAACTGCTACAGGAGAGCTAAGGACCATGAGTGCTGAGGGGAAAAGACTCCTGGCCTTCCTTGCTTCAAATTCTTTCTGGTTTTGTTGGTTTTCATTTTAGGGGATAGTGTCTTATGTCTTTACAAATTAACTGGCCCTTGCCCTCTTGGTCCAGATATCTGTCTATGTGCAGAAAGCAGAGGCACTTCGTGTCTGATGTGTGTAAGATGTCTTCATTTCTTGCTACACATGCAGCATGAATCTGAGTACATACTGGAACTCTGTGAGAAGAATGGATAGTGCGTGGCCTCTGTCGAGGTTCCCACTGGGAGTTGGGCCTGAAGCCCCCGTCTGTCATGTTGCTCCTCACCCACTCAACCTGTCATTGCCTTTGCCACTTTTTTTTTTTTTTTGAGATTTTGTACCTCTGCCTCTGCCACTTTAGTGGGCCCTGTACTTCCTGCTGACTCTTGCCAGAGTTGTAGATATGCCCCAGAGGCAAGTTTCCTTTTCTAATGAAAACATCAAAGGAGGATAATCAGAGAATGAAAACAGGAGACAAGGAAGTAGCCAATACACATTGTTTTAGAGGCACCATTCAGGTGCTTTGCCTTTATTGTCTCATTTAATCCTCATAATAACCCTGTGAAGTAAGTAGTATTATCCCCATTTTACAGATGAGGAAACTGAGACGCAGAGAGGTTAAGTGACTTGCCCAAGATCACACAACTAGTAAGTAAGTGTGAACCCAGATCTGTCTGACTCCAGAGCCTGTGCTCTTTCCCATCACATTACACTGCAGCTCTGAGTTTTGAGTTCTGATGTTGGTGTGCAGACCCAAGAGTCACAGGGAAGCTCTGCCTAGCATCCTGGGGGAAGCCAACTTTGGGATGCGATGTATATATAAATGGCTGTACCCATTGCCGATACTTGTGTCATTTTTGCCTTAAGTTCTTTGTACTTGTTCACTCACCTTCCTAGTTCTTTCTCAGAAACTTTATATAATGTGTGTGCTTAGCAGCAGTTAAAGATTGATTGCCTCTGGGGAGGGGAACTGGAGTTGAGGAGGGCTGGGACAGGAGGCTGTAGTTTCCATTACAAATCATTCCATACTAATAGACCTTTTTTTTATCATGTTACCTGATTTTATAAAAAGTTCCATGAAGACCAGTAGATATTGAGATATAACAACAAATACTATGAATGCACAAAAGAACATACTTTGCTAAATTAATAACTGTGAGACATACTTTTGTAGAATCACAAAACCTATATTTTGTGTATCTGCTCTTTTATGTGAAGGTTCGTAATGAGTTTTACAAGGATACACAGGGTGTGATAATGGTCTATGATGTTGGTCAGAAAGAATCCTTTGACGCCCTTGATGCGTGGCTGGCAGAAATGAAGCAAGATCTCGGACCTCATGGAAACATGGAGAATATTGTGTTTGTGGTGTGTGCCAACAAGGTAACTACTTTGGAAATGGTATGCTTAACTTTCTAAATTCGTTGTGGGAAGAATGCACCTCTAAGTTTTGGGGAACAAATGAAAAGAAAAAGTCCTTATTCTGTACAGGAATCAACAGCTTTTTAAAACATATGTCCCCAAAACAAAAACAACAAAAACACAAAACTTAGCATATCAAGAGCAGAATAGTTTTCCTTTCTGGTGCCATACTTGAGGAAGGAATTGGTGACCAAGTAGGAGAAGTGTATCCTAACCATCACACTCTGACCTGACTGGAGGAGGGGTGGTAATTAGGTGAGAAGTGGGCTATGGAGAGGTATGAAAAGCAGACTGTCACCCCGTGAGTGTGGTACGTGCGTGCGTGGCAAGTATGAAGCCGGCTTTCAGAGCTGAGTAGCCATAGTTTTCTCAAGGCAGCAAGTGGGAAATGTGGCAGCAGGCGCTTGCTGTTTGCCTCAAAAACATCAGTCTGTGTTCAGTATTAGTAACTCTTTGTCCTTTTGGTCCTTTTAATTTTGTTTACTAGTGCTAGGGTTTGTTTAAGAGTAGTTTTTGCCTCAGTAAAAGATTGACAAAGACCTCATTGGGCCTATTGTAGTGGGACAAGGTTGGAATCTTCTGCCCTGCCCCCAACGTTCTATTTCAGATCGACTGTGCCAAGCACCGCTGTGTAGATGAAAGTGAAGGGCGCCTTTGGGCAGAAAGCAAAGGGTTCCTGTACTTTGAAACATCAGCACAGACTGGAGAAGGAATCAGTGAGATGTTTCAGGTAACCTGGCATTTTTTTGTTCTGTTTGTATCAAGGCTGACCATACCAAATTTTAGTTTAAATTATGAGAAGCAAAAGAGTAATAGGAATTTCTCATTAAAATAAGCTCTTTTTCTTTTCAGAAGCTGGTGAGAGAAACAGAGACAGAAAGGGAGAGAGCTGCCTGTCTGTGTTCTATTTTAGGCCACACTTGGGTGATCATCAGAATTACTTGGGGAAATTCTTCAAAATAAAGATGTCTAGGCTTCAGACCTACTGAAAGCTTAATGTTGAAAAAGCTCTCCAGGTGATTCTGATGATCATCAAGTTTAACAATAGTTATTATACACTTAGTAGGACAAAGATTTTCTTCAAAATTACCTTTGGTTAATTGTGTTACATTTGTATGCATAATAAAATGGAATCTTTACTTTGGCAAAATTGCCTTGCCAGAGCTAAACGTAATCCTATATTATAGCCCACAGGGATGCAGTTAGAGAATAGGAGACTATCTCTGCAGAATTCAGCCCATCATACATAAAAATAAGGTCTTACCATTCAAGTAGGCAATGGAGGGATGTATTCACATTACAACCTGAATGGATGGTCACTTTTTAAAAGTTACTTATGTTGAATACTTTTAAGGGAAGGAGGTATGTAAAATAGTAAGTAATAAAGTCAATTCTTAATTATAGATACATTTGGAAGTAAGTGGTGGCATGAATAATGTATTTTTTTCTTATGAATATATCTGATATTTTGGGAATTTTTAACATTTCAAATAATGTAGCTGTACTATAAAGAGTTGTTCTTAATTATTGAGTGGGATTTTACTGAATCTTTTATGCTGAATTTCTTTTTCACAAGATGTCACCCCTCCTACTAGAAGACAGGTTTCATCCTTGGCTGACAGGCTGAATTGGGCATCAGTAGCTGCTGTTTCAAAACCAAATGAGGTTGATGTTGGTTTGCTAAGCTTTGTATTCATATGAGGTTAGAGACCTATGTGAGTTTGTGCCTATCAATGTGCCATAATGATACTTAGCCATTTGAATAGTATTTCACAGTTCTGGGGAAGTTTACATGTTCCATCTCATGTGAGACATAACAGCGTGTGGCAGGTATTATGCTCATATAATTTTCATTCCAGATGTTAGGACATGTAAGTGTAGTAAAGTGACTTGTTCAAAGGGTACTAAGGTCTGTTGGAGATTACATTTCCCTAAGCACTTTAAAGATGTTGGTCCATTCTCTTCTCCTCTGTTGTGTCTCATGAGATGTTAGCACCCATTTCTGACTCTTACTCTTTTGTACATAATATGTCTTTTCTTCCTCTAGCTATTTTTAAGAGTTTCTCTTTGTTTTGAAGCAGTTGATCTATGTGCTTAGGTGTGGTTTATATTTGTCCCGCTTGGGGTTTATTCAGTTTCTCACATTGGTTGGTAGATGTTTTAAATCAAATTTAGGATGTTTTTTTTTCTTTTCTTTTTTTAACCATTACTTGTTCAAAAAAATTGTTTGGCCTGTTTTCACTCTCTTTTCCTTATGGCATGCCAGTTACACATATATTAGAACTTCTGATTTTGTCCCACTCCTTGAGGCTATGTTTATTTTTCTCCCATTTTATCCTCTATTTTCAGATTGCTAGTCTCTGTGGATCTGATTTCAATCTGCTGTTAAATCCACCAAGTGCATTTTTCAATAGAGTACTTTTCAGTTTTAGAATTTGCATTTGGTCCTTTTTTGTAGTTCCCACTTTTCTGCTAAGATTCTCTGTTCACTCATTAAGAGTCTCTTCCTTTAATTCTTTGAACACATTTTCCTTTATCTCTGAAATATTTATAATAGCCAAACTTTTAGTCTTTGTTTGCTAAGTCCAATATATGAACCATCTTGGGTTCAGTTTCTGTTGACTAATTTGTTTCCTAATTATGGATCACATTTTGTTGTTTCTTTGTATGAATAGTGATTTTTGAGTGAACACCAGACATAGTAGATAGCATATTGTAGATTCTTTATTTTCCTCAGAATAATATTGATTCTTGCTTCAGTAGGCAGTTCAGCTACTGTCAGATTATACTGAACTTGTGTAGGCTTGGTTTTTTGCTTTAGTAGCAAGGATCTGAAGGAAGCCCAAAGTGTGCCCAGACCTTTCTAATTTGGCAGAACTCAGCCTCCAAATTCTCTCTCTCATAGATCTCATTAGCTCTTGGTTTTAGATTTTGTTAGGATGAGTCTACCTCTTATTAAGGCATCCCCTTTCTGTGGCATCTCATCTAGATGCGAGGGGTACTGTTGAGGTGCAGTCTCTCCTCTGTGGCAAGGCCTAACTCTTGTGTCCCCAGCATGGCTCTTTCCCTACCACCACTACACCTAGAGTAATTGGTTCTGTTCTCAACCCCATAGTCGCTATTATCTGATCTCACCCTATATATGTATAGCCTGGACCCAGCTACTAAGTAGTGGGGAGCCTCCAGGTGGACTCCTAGGGCCTTTCCCCTCCAGTGCCTTGCTCTGTATATTTTAGCCTCTTCATCATCCTCCAGCTCTGATCTTTGCCTCTTTAATTCAGTGGGACTTTGGGTCTGCCCAGACTTCAGCTGTGACATGGTCAGGAAAAGGACTCCAGGTAGAAAACCAAGGAGCAGTCTTACACTTGCTACTATCCACTCCCATATATTTGTCCACTTTTCTAGTAGTTTATGGCAAGAGGTCTAGTCCAGTACCCATTACTCCATCATGGCTGGAACTCAAACAATGAAGTTTAAACAGACTTTTGACTTCAATTCTAGCATCTGCATGCCACACCACAGCTGGTCTTCTATAATGGGTTATGAGTGAATCTTTGTGCGCTCAGAAATCTGTGTTTGTGTTTTAGGTTAACTTATAGACAAGAAGAAAATGTACTGATACAAAAGCAAACATCTGTGAACTGTGATCCCTTTTGGGTTGCCTTACCTTTTTAGATAAATTTTGGGTAGAACTATGGATAAGTTAGTCTATTAAAAAAAAAAAAGTCTTAACAAAGAATATAATAAAACTATTCTGTAAGTAAGCACTTAGAAGTAGTGCTTTCCTGCTGGTTCAATTTAATAAATATTTTCTGTTTCCTATATTTATAATAGACACCTTATATCAGGAAAGGACTTGGTTTATCTTATTCACATTGTTAACAGATAGTAATATTAAGATAGACAAAAACTAAACTAACACTTCTTTTGTGTCAATATCTAGTGGCTTTTCATTTGACACTCCTTTTCACATGTTAAGGTTTCTTGTCTAGGTTGCCAAGTCAATAGCTTTTACTGGAGATAAAAAAGAGGAGTCTAAGAGAAATATACAATTTTTAGATCATAATAGGAACTGTAGAAATATCTGAAAAAGAAGAGGGAAAGATTAAAAAAGAAATGGAGGGAAGAAGAGATATGTCAATGTAGAAGTGACTTTTGTGTATTAGTATTTTGAGTGAGGTCATTCAACAACAGTAAGAGTGCACAGAGTATGAAATATGAGTACTGCCAAAAATAGTCTTCATTTTGAAAAATGTCATAAAAATAGGCAAATAATATGAAGAGTTTACAGAGAAAGAAAAAGCTGGTAAGCACATGAAAAGATAATCAATTTCACTTATAATTAAAGACATGCAAATCAAAACTGTGAGATACATTATCAGATTGCCAAAAATGAAGATGTCTGATAATGCCCAGTATTGATGAAAGCATGGGGGAATATACACTCATACACTGTGATGGGATTGTGTGTGAGGTGGTGCAGCTTTTTTTGTTCAAAATTGTCAAAATCAAAACTAAAAATACACTTATACTGTTATTCAATAGTCTGCTTTTAGGAATTTATCCTAAGGCAATATCCCCAGAAGTGTGCAGATATATATATATATATATATACACATACACACACACACATATACATATATATATACATACACACAAAATACTAAGGCATTATTTGTAGTAGCAAAAAACTAGAAACAGTGGACTTGCCAAAGAATAGAGAGTTAAATAAGTTATGGTACAGCCATACAGTAAAATATTGAGCAGTCTTTAAAAAGGATGAATGAAAGTATCTATATGCAGCTGGAGAAAGATTCCAAGATGTAATGTGATAAAAATGCAAGGTGCTAAGCAATGCGTTTAGTCCGCTCTCTTTTATGTAAATGTTTAGCATATGAATCTGCGTACATACTGGTATACTGATAGAAAATTTTCCTGGAAGGATATTTAAAAAATATTAACAATGGTCACATTGAGGAGAGGGACTTGAGGGGTAGGGAGCTACACTTTTCATTTTACACTTTACTATTTTAATTTTTCTAAGAAAATTCATCTACCACTTTTTAACCTCAAGCGTGGTTGTCTGAGAGTAAGATTATGAGCCATTTAAATTTTATTCCTTATACTTTTTGTGTGCTTAAATATGTAGTATACATAGTGTAAAAGAAAATAATCTTCCAAAGTGCCTATTTGCTTTATGGTGAATTTTAAGAATTATTGGAATATATTAAAGTTCTTTAAGTGGATGCTTTTTAAAAGAAATTTCTCTTTTCACGAAATCAGTTCTACTCTGGGATCTGTTTTCTTTTTGCAGACCTTTTATGTATCCATAGTTGACTTATGTGAGAATGGCGGGAAGCGACCTGTCACAAATAGCAGTGCTAGTTTCACCAAAGAGCAAGCAGATACCATTCGCAGAATTCGAAACAGTAAAGACAGTTGGGACATGTTGGGAGTCAAACCTGGGGCCTCAAGGTGAGCTGCGCTCTAGGTCATTAGTGCTGAGTTCTGTTACAGAGGGAGACTCAGTCATCAAAATCATAGGTGCAGTGTATCTTCTGGTAATTGGCTAGCAATGCGAAGATATGTAGAAATGTATTAAATTGCTTAATAACTCTCTTTCACTGAGTTAACTGAATACCAAAGAAACAAAATAGAGGGCACAGTTGCCTGAGAAGAGAATTATGTATGCACGGATACTTTCTGCAATGGTACGTTCTGTTTTTGTCTGTGTTGAATGAGAGCCTTGAAGCAAAAGCACCTTAAACAATACCTTACAAAGGAGAATTATTAAGTCATAGAATTTTAGAGGAGGAAAGAATGTTAGCAGTCATCTTACTCAACATTTCATTTGTGGGTGAGAAAACTGGGACCCAGTAAGACTAAACACACATTCAAGGACCCCAGGAGTTAGCAGTAGAATTGGTTCTTGACCCTGAATGTTTTGTGTCTGCCTGGCTCTGTCTTTGTCTTTCTCTCTCAAAAATCTTGCTAGTTCCTCACCTGTGTGTGAATCTATGTTAAATTATTTTAGCTAAAAGAATTACTTGGGAGAAAAGGAAATAGAATCACTATTGCTTGTGCAAGAATAAGTAATTATTCAGTATGGTTATAGAACTTTTTACTACTGCTGTTACCGTGCATCTTATATTTATTGTAATTATAGATAATATCATTGTTACTATGCATGCTAATAATTTTTTTATTATAAGCATTCTCAGATTTTTTTTTCACCATAACGTTCCTCCCCATGCTTCTCCCTTTCTACTTTTTTGCATTGATTCCCACAAAAGAAAAGGAAAAGTATGTCTTGAAATGCCTTGTCAGTACCAACAGCATTAAGTTTCTCTTTTCCATAGCATATCTTCAAGTCTGAAAGGAAAGAGGGGCCAGGGAGAAGTTACTGGGGGTCACCCTCAACTTGCCAGGCATTACTGAGAATGCTTTAAATACACAAACAATTCAGATGATCCCATGTATACAGCACAAAGTTAACCGATGTCTTCTCAGTGTCCTTTTAGACTTCCATAGTGTCATTCTAGATTCTTCTGCTTCATCTCCAAGGGATATTGGTTCTACAGTTAAGAGACTGTTACTTTAATTAGTTTATTAAGGAAGAGAGACTTTTGGTTCCTTACTTACTCACTGTGGTTAATTGGAATCTACCAAGATTTACAGGACCTCTGTTAAGTTCCACATCCTTGGCTGATATAAACATGTACTTTTCTTGCCTTTGTTCCTGTGGGTTCATCAAACTGGTTTTATATGGCATTGAGCACATTTGGCCAAACCTAAAAACTTTTTTTACGTTATAGAAAGTTTTAATGTTTTTTCAGTGCTGTGTTTACTGTTCTTAAACTTTAAGAAAACCTTCATCCTCAGCAGAATTAATGTATTTGTTACCTTATTAAATATATTTGTTAATATATTTGTTATTTTGGAGAAATAAGAATTCTGGCAATTCAAATTTCTTCAGAGAGGGAGAATATGATTTTTGTTAGCTAATATCCAAATGATCTGTGTAGAAAAGCCCCATGCAAGGTTAAAACAGGAATATTCGAAAGGACTTCTCTCAGAGCAGAAAGCAGGAAAAGCCTTAGAATGTATCCCCAAGTCGTGGAGAACTGTTAACATGGCCTTATGACCTCGGTCTGTTGATACCTAAAACTTTCCATCACATCCAGAATATCAAAAACTGACCATCCCTCTAACTGAAAAGCCGAATTAGAAATCCTTCTGATAAAAAGGGAGAAAAGCTAGGGCATGTGGGAAAGCCCCATACCCAGGCTGACAGGATGACTGGGACCCTGACTTACAATAAGAAGATGGGAAATAAAGCCCTCTGGAGGGCACAGAACTTCACTGTAACCAGGGGAGTGGCTGGGAACTAGAGGCCTCCCAGAGGCCTGACACTTGAGGATCTTGCCGGGCCCCTCCCAGCCAGTCCCTGCTTGTTGACGAGCTCAGAAGCGTAAAGGTGGCTCCAGGAGCTCTGCAGGTCTTTGGAGAAACACCCATTGTACCGCTCCTTTCCTCTTCGGATATTAATTTCTCTCTTCTTTCTTCTTTGGTCTCAGGGGCACAGAGTAACCTCCAGGCACCCCTTTCCAGTGTCCCTTTCTTGGTCAGTGGTGTTGCCATCTTCCCTGGGCCTCAGATTCAGCCATGACCCTGGCACTCATTTCAGCCGTTTTCTTCTGTCTTCTCCACCTGTACACCCAGGTCATCATCTGCTTCTGCCAGTTCTTTTTTTGTATCATCTTTTATCTTCCCTTGCTTGCTTCCACAAACACTTTAAACTCTTGTCCTCCTGCTTGGATTATTGTAACAGCCTCCTACCTGTCTCCTAACTTCAAGGAACAGCTTTCCCAGCACCATTTTGTCATTGGACACCTACTGTTGTTGTTTATCAAATCCAATTGCTTTGTCGTTTTGACTTGAAGACGCTTTACTTCTGACCCCTGCTCCCTGGCCAACTTTGTTTCTGTTACTTCTCAGCCCAGTTTCCTCGTGCAACTGCATGCCATGTCCATGCTCTGTTCCCATCCTCTGCCAGTTTTCTCTAGTCACCTGGATTTCCCCATTACTGGGGGATTTTTCAGAACCTTACTCCAGCGGGCTTTCCTTGATGGCCCCATGCCCGCATTGCTTCAGTCAGCAAAGATTTGCTGAGTGCCCACCAGGTGCCAAGAACTCTGTTTTCAGAGGGTCACTCTTTTACCACATGGTTTGTTAATGTTTAAATATGCATTCTGCATTTTTTTTTCCTACTTGTATGTTACATATTATTTATTTGTTTGTTCTCCAGTCCTTTAGTCCTGCTTGGAACTTTTTGGGATATGCTTACTGCAAGAGATATTATATGTATCCAAACAGCTAAAATGTACTTACTGACAGAGCTTTGATGCTTTTTGTAGGGATGAAGTCAATAAAGCATATCGAAAACTTGCTGTGCTGCTTCACCCTGACAAGTGTGTGGCCCCTGGCAGTGAAGATGCCTTCAAAGCAGTTGTGAATGCCCGGACAGCCCTCCTGAAAAACATCAAGTAGAAAGTAAGAGAAAATCACATGTGTGGGCCTCAAGTACAGATTTTCTCTAGAGGTGACATAGCCAACATGGATTTTTCCTCCACAAAATCCTACTGCTTTTTGCACTCGTGTTGTCATTTGTAAATCAGTAATTCATCTGTGTGTGAATTTCTGTTACCTGTTACCATTTCACAGACATTTTGCTGAGTGATGAGGTTAAGAGAACCAAGCGCCGCTTATACGCTGTAGTTCACTTCATATTTCCAAATCTGAATCTTTTTCTCCTTCATTTGTAAGCTCTGTGATTGTAGCATCCCATAGGAAATGTCCATAAGGTTTCTGGAGGGAAGGAGGAGGACAGGAGAACCCTTTCACTTTTTCTTTTCTTTTTTTTTTAAATTAGAGAAGAAAACAGCAGAAACAGAAGTGGACATTATCAAAACCGCAGAAAGTTTGGTGTGACCTTATAAACAAGTTGCTCCTTTTACAGTGAGTTCCTTAGGTAGGATTTCAGCTATCAGTCGTTCCATAACCAATGAGCTCGTGGCAGTCCTTTGGAAGTTTGTGAAAGGAGGCCAAGACAATTCCGAATCGAGCCGCCCTTGTGTGAAATGTGCCCTGTTCCAACCACCAGGGGGAGACAGGCTAGTCCCGGGAGAGACTAGGAGGTGGCAGTCGCCAAGTCCGGCTGGCTGCTGCCAGTCCTGCGCCTGGATCTGAGGCCTTTCTTTAGCCATGGAAATGGGTGCTGGTAGCAGCAAAGAGCATGGTGTACCTAGGGATCAGGAATCAGTTTTGCAGGTCACACCAGAGATTGTGCAGAGGGGCAAGGCCAAAGAGCAGGCCAGCCCCGGTCAGCATGTTTGATGCTCTAGAAGAGCCCCCACAGGAGGCATATGCCTCTTCTTTCTACATCTCTGTCCAGACAGGTGGGAAAGGCAGGGGTACTCCCCCATGCACTGGGCCTCTTCTTTGCTTCATCAATGTTAGTTCTTTTTTCCTCTTCAGTGCTTCCTTGTTTTTTTTATATACTACATCTGCCGTCATTTCTCCTGAATCCCTGGCTCCTGGCAACTACCTGCTCCAGTCTCCCTTTCAGGCCCTGACCTTACAAGCCCTGGTTGACCAGAGACGAGTTTGGATCCTCTGGTGGTGCTGGAGGGAGAGATCTGAAGGCCTGGGTAGGAGGAACCTTTTTCCTTTTTGCTTGGGCTCCAAATTTCTGAATAGTAATATTTTTCAACTATAGATTATGAAAACTAATTTCACACAGAGAAATACATTCCCTTGCATTGTCTCCTCCTCAGTGTCCAAGGGATGGATGAAAATTGAGTATTAGGACTGGCCATTTCTCCAGAGCTTAGAGAGCCAGTCTCACTGACTCAGTACGTCATCACTGTCATTACATTACTCGTATTTTTAGCTGTGGCCACGTTGCACTAATTGGGGTTTTAAAGCATATAAAACGTTACTGTTTGTGAATTTTAAGCAGCTATCCCATATTGATCGCATAATGGCACTTACCTTACCACCTAAAGGGAAAAGCCACTTTGGTTTAATCCAGGCCCTTTGCAGTCTTCATAATCCTTCCGTTCTGCAAAGCACTTCACGGTGTGGCTGCACTTGGGCTGCGTTGAGCTTGTTCAGGAAGCCAGAACGTTTTTTTCTAATATGAATTTCCATCTTGGTGATATTGAAATGCCTTTTTTTTTTTTAACGAATTGAGTCTGATATTTGATTTCTTGCAGCATTTCCCTCTGGACTTTTCATTTTAACTAGCTTAGTTAAATTACACAGAACTCCAACCCAAAATTCTTCGGGACCTCAATTTTGCTTTAAGGCCTTCATCATACCTGAAGTAATTAAACCAAGATCTGTTCTTGCATCAGAATTAGTCAGGTAAATGAGAGGTTATGCATGGTAGTGTCAGCCCAAATTGACATGACAGCTTGCTGAGTGTGTGACCCTGTATAAAGCTGATGCCCGTTTTCATCACTGTTATTGAAGACAAGATTGGTCACCTCATTCAGTGATATTGTACAGATGAGCAGTTACAGCAGGCCACGTTCTTTAGTGCCTCTATTCGCATGCTTACATAACAGGTGGCTTTAGCCTGATCTTGATTCCTAAGTAGAGACTCAGTTCCCAACACCTTATTTTTAAGGTTAAGGATGGCCATGAACTACTTTGTTTATGTAAAAGAAAGAAAAAAAGAAAGTTAAATTTCAGGGTCCTAGAATTTTTCTGACATCCATAATCCTTGAATAGAATACTGAGAGATAATAAAGCATGATTTGCAATGAAAAGGTTTTTTGGTACTACCTTCATACAAAACTTTACAGACCTCTGTGCATTGATTTAAATTTTTGGTGCCAATATACTGTGCAGTTGAACCTTATTAAAATTCTTCAGTCAGTTACCATTTCAAAATACATAAGTGAGAATAAGAACTAGCCAAATTATTTCAATGGCTAAAAATTTTTTATAGAGAATCTTCTTTTCAAAAAATAATAAAAGGCTCAAACAGCTGTTATTAAAGAAAAGCTGTTTCTTCTACATCTGAGTCACCAAGAATTAAGTTTTAAGACTTGTGAGAAGTCCCCGGAGGCATTTCCAGTTAATTGCCAACCTACCTAAGCACTTTAAAATACGCCCTCCTTTTGTTCCTCTGTTCCTCTGCTCCACTTCGTGCCTCTCATTTGAATTAATATTCTCAACTGTCAGCATTTCTTTCACTTCAGCATTGTCATTTTATTTCCTCCCAGAAATGTGTCCTTGGTTTTGCTAGCCTGTTAACTTGAAAGCCCAGTCTTGGGGGTATTGTGTGGCTACCCAAGGTAAATGGCTGTGCTCCGTAGAGTGCACCCTGTTCTTTAAGGCTTACGTTTATCTCAGGAAACTTAACTCTCGTATGTTCTCATGCATTGAGTTCTCAACTGGTAAATATTGCTTTACTCATAATCTAGTACCTAACCCACTGTTAGCCAAATGAGCCATAGGCAGCGCAGCTTAGCCAGAGCAAACGGTGGTGCTCGCAAGCCCTGCTGTTCCTCACAGAACAAAGACAAAATCCAGAGCGGGAGGGAGGGTGGAGCTGTGTGCAGATTGCTTTCCACAGTGAGGGTGCCCTTCTCACAAGTGATTTCAGTAGGCGCTGCAGTGTCACTCTTTCCCCACTGCACTCCATCTAGCTCACTCTGAGTCTGCCAACATTTCTGTAAAACTTTTGAGAATGAGTTTAGCTGCAATATATAGCTAACCACCTTCCATTACAAGTTTTGTGAAGTGAAGTTCCTACTTCTCATAACTGATATCTAGCACAATGTAAGACACAGTTAATACTGTTTGTACATTGGTTTTTCCCATTAAATGTTTCTAGATAAGACAAAACCTTACACTTGTGATGTGGATGTTAGATCGTGTCTAACAAGCAGTGCAATATTAAGTGCAATAAAGGCCCTGTTGGTGAAATGACTTGTTGGGATGTGGACAGTTTGTGTTCACCTCCTGCACTGATTGTGGGGGGGTGTTCGTCCCCTTGGACTGTGAGTGCAGAGTCTCTAGAGAAGCCCTTGCTCTTACAAGGTAATTTACATATTTGCTTTCTGTTGCAAAAACTGAAAATGTTAAGTCTAACGGTTGTTTATGTCTTGTACAGAGAGTGTCATATGTATTTAAGTTGTGTATTTTTATAAAGTAAAGTTAAAAATCAGACACCATTCTGTGGGCTGCACTTATTTGTCAGGATACTGGTCTTTTGTGTAAAACATACTAGTCTAGAAGCCAATCCAATTCCTCACCAACTGAGACCTTAGACAGGACATCTTGCTTTAGTTTCCAGTTGGTAAATGGAGGAAATTTTATTCCTTAGTCCATCTGCTATGCTAACCTTTTTAAGTCGTGATGAAAGTATTTTGACCTCTTAAAGAAAGACACTGAGATCATGCAAACTGTTACCATCCCATCTTAATAATGCAGCCCTTGGCAGAATAACTTAATAATTCAGTAAACTGGTCTCTGGACAAGAATCCTTAAGTAACAGACTATTTGAATTTGAAAGTGAAAGCCTTGTAAGGCCAACCCACAGGAGGCAGCCTACTTCTGAAGCCTTCAAACGAGAGCTTTCATTTTTATTGTGAAATGACATGCGTTCTCATCCGAGAATGCCCACCACTCTTTTGGGGCAACTGCTCTACCTTCTCCATACTGCTAGTGTGTTCTAAGGAAAGCAGCCAAATTCTCCTATGCCCCGCCTTTCCTCCCTGGCCACAGAGTTTGGTCTATGAGATGGGAATGTCACTCATGCTGAGCCAATCCACACTCCTCTCCAGGATCTTTCTAGTTGGACCTAGGAAAACAAACTTCTGCTCAGGACAGGAAAACAGGAGGAGTTCTGCTGATGCTGCAACCTTGTTTCCAGCCTCATGGAAAAAAATTTGAGAATGAAGCAGACATGCAGAGAGAGACAGAATCCTGATAGCTAAGACTTTCCTTCTAGGCCCTGAGGTCCTCTGAACTGGGTGTTCTTTAAGCCCATCAGCCACCCCAGAATCCTTCCAATAAATCCTCACCCCATTTTCTGCTTCAGTTATTGGAGTTTTCTGTTACTTGCAGCTAAAAGAATATTAGAAAATAATAGACACCATGGGTCATAAGCAGGGAGAAGAAAGCTGTGGCCTGTAGACTGGTATAATGTTTGATATGTAGATCATAACATTTTGTATATTCCAGTATATCCAGTTACTTAGTATTTCTCAGTTGGTGTCTTTGGCTCTGTTTTAAACCAAAAATGGCCAGTTGCAAATTGGAAAGAAAAAAATAGGTTTATTCAGTTTGTTTCAGGGTTAATTAAACATCCAAATTTTTATCTAGCTTTTTACTTTCCATTTGATCTATTGCCTATCAGGGCATGTATAATTTCTTTAATCTCTAATCAAACTTTATTGTTAGAAGATTTATCCACCATGTATCTATTGAGCACCTATGTGTCAGGCCCTGTTCTAGGCAGTAGGGATATAGCAGAGCATAGAACCAGCAAAAAAACCTGCCCTATGGCGCTTACATTCCAGTGTCTTTTTTTTTTTTTAACTTGTGAAGTTTGAAGAAAGGTTCTTTTTTTCTATAGTTTATTTACAAAGATGCAAATTTGAATTTTTTGAGAACTCTCCATATGTAAAGATATGTATTTTTGCAGTCTATACTCCAACTGCTAGTACATACTGAAGACATGCAGGTTATTAAAATGCCATATTAATTTTTTTTTGAGAACTTAACCATTACCATGTAAAGCTCAGTTTGTCATGTTGGCCTGGAGGAAATAGCTCTAGACTATAGAAGTTTCTTTATACATGCTTTATATTTATAATTAAAACATTAATATATTATTTCAAAGTAGTTGATAAGATTGTGCTCATTTTAAGGGAAAATATCTAGACAAAGTTGTTTTAGCCTAATCAACAGTGTGTATATCTGATGTCACACAGTTAAAATTCTGGTCATTGGACTGTTCTAAAGGATGCTCTCACTTTAAGAAAATTATTTCACTACATCCAAAACAATCAGTTGTTAGTAGCAATTATAAAATCTGCAGATGCAGCTCATGAAAACGTCTGTACCAGGAAGAAAAAGTAAAAAATCTACTATGATTGAGACAAATTAAGAGTCAAGGTGCCTACATGCCTCAGATACCAGAATGTGAACATTCTGCTGATTGCAAAGTATGAGAAAAAACAAAAGGTTTTGTAAATACTAAAGAGAGAAGACACCTTCGTGGTTCAAAAAGAAAACACAAGAAAGCCAAATAATTGTCTCCATTCTAACTATCAGGGAGGAAGTAGAAAAGCCCCAAGTCACTAGTTATCAAACCGTTTATTTCTAGTGAACTGCAATGTGAGACCCATTTGTATAAAACAGCTAAGAACAACATTTTTTAGGATAAATTTTTAAGTTCATGATTTTAACATCTCTCCCTATAAAAGCAACCTGTCAGGTTACTCTACCTCCTACAGGAGATGGTAAAGTTTAATCAAAAGATGATAAACCCCTTCTCATAGTTTGTCCCTTCTTACAAATGCTGGTGGGGAGAGCATCTCACCCTCAAGAGCTTTCCAGTTTAAGTAGATGCTGTCAGTTAAGAGCTTCTGTCAGGCACTTTAGAGTGATGGCAGTGCTGGGCAGGGACTCTGCTTAATTAAGTGTCCTAATGAAATTCGAGATATAAGAGAAATATTGTGGCTTTGTGCAGTGAGGCAACAGCTGAGCTGCTCTTCCTAAGAAATGCACAAGACTTCTAGGGGTTCGAGCTGCCTAAAAGAAGAGAAAGACTTGATAAGATGGTGCAGCAGGTTGGGGTCTTGGAACCTTGACAAGATGGTGCAGGAGGGGGTAAAGGATAATTGGAAAGATATTAGTGATTATGAAATCATTAGGTATCACATAATATTAAAAAGATAGCCAAAGAGAAGTTCTCAGTACCTCAAATGACTGAAGGACTTTTAAGAACATGGATGTCTCTATAATGTTCTCACCATTTTACAGATGAGAAAACTGAGGCTCAGAGAGGTTAACTGACTTGCTCAAGGCCACACAGGAAGCTATTCAAACCTAACCTTGCCCAACTTCAGAACCTAAGCTCCCATTCTATGCTACCAGCCTCAGAATCCAAAATTTTAAAATATTCTGCTTCACACTCATAAGTAATATGTGTCTGCTTGTGCCATGTTGCTTAAGTGGACATAAATAGGCTTGTAGTTTTTAAAAGACCACAGAGATACAGTTTTCCTCATCAATGACAAGTTCAAATCCTGCATGTGTGCAGAGGAATGAAAGAACCTCCTGAGGCGTGCCCAAGCCAGGAGGGAGCCAACACAAGTCACCAGTGCATTAAAGTATGGAAAATAATACATTGGGATATATTTAGTGACATTTTGAACAAACTCCTGTAGAATCTCTGATGCCTCCAGCACAGCTGAAAAGTCCTGTCCTAAGGAGCATCCGCCTAAGCCCACAGCTGAAGGTTAAAATCAGCCTGAAGCTGAGAAATAACTAGGGTTGGGAGAGGGGCCAGACAGACCCCTTGACCGCATGTGTCAGCCTAAGGATTTTGTTTCTGGGTGATTTTCACATCCCTAACTTACTCCTTTGTCATAGTTAGAACCCAAGAAGTTATAAAAGCGCTGTTTCCTTCCTCCCTCCACCCCAAAGCTTAGTGTGCCGTTTTGTGTTCAAATTGCTGGCAGAAGAGGTGGTTTGTACTCAACGAACTGTAAAGATTTGATTGTTTGGAGAGTGGGTTTTAAGAACTGGGGTCAGGATGGTTTGACTTTTTGCCCAACACTTGTCTGTACTATTTGAGTTTCTCAACAGTTGTCAACTATTTTAATCATCTAAAAAGCTGTATGAAACCAAAAACGTAGCTCCAGTTTAAAAGAGACACACTCTGAAGCTGCTTGTGGGGAGCTCCACAGTGTGGTGGCTCTAGGCTGTAATTAAATCTTGCTTCTTTAGTTGTAATTTAAGATTAAAGGGAAAAAAAGCTTTCAGTCACCTAAAAGGTTTTGAGAAGCTCACATCCCAATCAGTGCTCTCTGGGCTGGAATTTCTAATTCATTTAAGTGGATGCCTGTTCATATACTCACTCTCTCATATAATGTGGAAGCATTAGGATTGAAGTAAGAAGACCTGGGATGTGGCCTCATCTCTCCTGTTAATAGTTGCCATGGGCAAGCAGGTGCACCTTATGAGGTTCGGTTTCCTCCATTAGAAGCAGCTCTGGGTTAGATGACACCTAAGGTCCTTCCTGAAGACCATTATTTTATGTAATTTTACAAAGGCAATAGTAGGTCTCCCAGAATTTTTGCATATAATTCTACTTCAACACCCCCACTCAAAAAAAAAAAAAGAAAGAAAATGAAAAATTAATTTAGAAAAATGTCAGTGAGTTAGGCTTTTCCTAACGTTAGGAATAATAGGCATTGTGGAACCCTTTCATTGCTTTTAATGAAGAAAGCCTTAAATTCCTGTAAACATGGCATTAGGATTATGTCACATGTTGGAAATTCTTAGTAAAAAGTCCTCAGTGTTCAAAGACTTTCTACTTTCTTTATTCCTATAAAATGGAAGTGATCTTGGGCTCCAAGCTCACATTTTTCACCAAGGGTGAGAAAACTTAAAATTTCCCCCTTAAGGCATGCTAGTCATTTCTGGTTTTAAAATGATCAACTCGGGATTAAAACTCAGTAAACGCAAGCTCCCCTCTTCCTCACACTTCCATTGCTCTCCCTTTCCCAGGGAAGATCTAGAGTTAGGGCAGGGAGTCTCACCTCTCAGCCAGAAGGAGTGCTTTTTGGTCCACTTGCTGTCCCCCACCCATTGGCCTTGCTCTTCCCTCCTAGCCTGCCTTCTTTTTCTCATGTCATGGTCCCTCCATGGCCTCTAGACCCAAGGTACAAGCATTCACAGTCCTATTTGCCAGGCTGGTGCTTGGCCTCTTCTGCTATGCAACCTTGTCCTCTTAGTTCCTGTGGGCCCTGCCCACCTGGTGGGTCAGCAACTCCGACCACTCTCCCCAGCCCAGCCCTGAGGCCCTCCTGCCAGCCATCCCACTCTAATGGCTCTGGTGTCCTGTCAGGGGCAGCTTCACACCAGGCTTCCCCAGGAAACTGCAGCCTCCTAGGCTTTACCTTGGAAGTCATCTTGAGCTTTTTTTTTTTAAA